CATGGATGGTATATAGACGTAAAGCCTATTATTATAATGAAACTTTTCACATCATAGAGGAAGGAAGGAGAAAAGAATTCACGGGTGAAAAGAAAAGCAAATAAAAACAGATCGGATTAATAGATTAAGCATTAAGGCCAAACATGCAGCTATTTATAGGCCTACCATAAGGCTAACTTAAACTACAACAATCATATATTTTTAATATAGTTCTTCAAGTTTTCTTTTCTTTTGTTTTTGTTTTTTGTTATATATATAGAGAGAGATATGGGGTTTAACATCCACTCGACACAAACTAGGTCATTTCGGGACTAACATATGTTTTTAATTTTACTTCAATAATTCGTTTGCGTGTAGGGATCTTTAGCATTGGGAGGAAACCGGAGGATCCGGAGAAAACCCACAAGGTTGGTCAAGCGACTCTACTGCTTGCCACTTACAACCGGGGATTCGAAGATTAGTAAAGAAGACAATGAGTTAAGGCTTAGCCTATAATAACATAGGCCTAATGTATTTTTAAAGAATAAATTTGGACAGTGAATAAACAGTGAAAATACAGAATTGTAAAGTGTGAGAAGAAAATGGGATATGCAATAAGTAAGGGTCTTTTAAGAAGAAAATAGGATATAGGCCTAAGCTATGGGAGGTTTTTTTTTATCATACAATAAATTTTTTAAAAAATATAAGAGAACACAGAATAGCAGCCAAAAAAAAAAAATCTTTCTTGTTAGATGCATGTATATATTGTTTATATTTGGTTCATTTTTATTTATTTCCCTTTTTGTTTGTTTAAGCTTCAGTGAAAAAAAAAGTAATAAAACAAGCTAAACACATATCAAATACACAAAGACCTATTTTGTTTTATTATGTGAACAGTCCTCTAAAATTAACTGTGAAATTACAGAAAAGTAAAATCGAAAATGGTAATGTAGGCCTATATTTGTGAAAAAATAAATTTTGACTAATTTTTATTTAATAAACAGTGAAAATACCGAATTTAAAATTGGGATACAGGCTCATAAAATATAGTTATATAATGTAATCCTATATTTTATTACAAATAAATTTGTGATTTTATTCTCTCTGAAATTACGATTGAAAAACAGCATTGTAAATAGTAAGGAAGAAAATGTGATATAGGCCTATAATATAAATAGTTATTTGTTTTAAAAAATAAGATATAAGCCAATACTGTAAGTATATTTTAAACAAATAAAGTATGATATAGGCCTAAAATGTAAGTATTATTTTTTTTAAAGAAAAGGGGATATAGGCCTATGCAATGACAGGTGTTTATTAATAAAAAGACCCCACCAAAAAATAACGATTACAACATTAATCTTATTCTTAAAAGTACACATTCTCATGCAAACCATACATTTTGCCTTAAATCAGATAATAACGTTGAATTTATCAATTAAAAATAAAAAATATTAAATGATGGGGTAAGGCATGGACTTTTGTACCATTTTCATTACTATTTGATAATACATACTAAATCAGTCATTGTTTGGAAAAAATAAAATCATCTGATGAAAAAGAAAATGTAAGATGCCACCCCTAATTATAGTTTTGATTTTGGATTTTAAAAATGTTTGGAAATCAGCCAGTTGTATTCGTCCAGAATTTTTTACTATATTTTAAATATTTAGTAGAAAACGACAACAACTCTCGTACAATAGGTCCTAAAGTAGCAGGATGCTAGTATCTGAAGGACATCTAGACTGGGATCTCAGCGATACACAAGGGGTTGCAGGATAAAGTAGAAATAAGTAGAATAGTAGCCCCTCAAACCAGTAAAAAAGATGAACTCCTAGTAGAAGTATAGGTGGTATTTATTAAACGTTTCGGACTACGGTATCCTTCCTCAGTAAATGAGTTGGATGAAGCGAAGCGGGCGGTATTTATACTAATTGATTGTGACGTAACGTGAGTATTTAGGATTGTTTGAGTGAATTTGATTAATCATGATCATTTAGTTTGGGCTGGTTATTGATTATTCAAGAAGGTTTACATATAAAAGAGAATTTTGATAATAAAATCTAAAGTTTTTTGAATAAAAATGTATATATACCGCTCGATTCGCGGTAACATGATGGGATGATATGATTGATACAGATGATTAACAAATTTATCATATACAAATTGATTTAAAAATTGAAATTAATAATTGAAAAGTTAAACAATATCTAAAGAATTAGAGTTCTTAATATTAAATTATGCAGGAACAGTTCTTATTCATCAGAAAGATATATTAAATTCTTCTAAAATTTGGTTAAAGTTCAACTGGTGATATTCGTTGGATATCACATCGTGATCTGACACTGTCGGTGTTGGTGGTGTCTCTGTTTTTGATGTTGTGGATTCTTCCGTGCTGTTTAGTTGATGAAAAAATTCTTCTAAGTCTTTGAATTCGGTATCCTCCTTGACCGGGCTCAAGGTGATGGCTGTGTCCTCGGTGTTGGATTCAACTCGGATGATTGGAGGACGTGGGCGAGCCTCAAAAGGAGGGACCCACTCACTAGGTTTGGCCGGCACGCAAGATGGATGGATGTCGTGCCCGAATTTTTGAAGTGAGCGGTCTGTTGTATACTGTTTCTTTACTTCAAGAATCTGTGTGTCTTGCTGTAGTTGTGATCTTTAGAAAGGTGTCTGTATAAATTAGAACACCATTGGTACCGGCGGCCGCATTCTTTGCAGTGATTGACAGGCATGTTGAAAAAAAATCTTATTTCCTAGGAATGATCATTAATGCCTCCTGGGTAGCTAGTGCCTAAGAATTGGATGAGGCTTTCTTCATGTCTTAGCCGTTTATTCAAATTACGTGACGTTGTGCTGAGAATAATGACGTCAGGTTTGTGATTGGTTTCCTGGAAATGGTTGCTGACGGGGGTCTCCTTATTCGTTCTGATATCACTAAGATGATTGAGGAATCTTTTTTTACAGTTATCGCTCGTTTGCCCTATTTATTGTGAACCACAGAACGAGCAAATGATCGCATAGATTACGTACGGGGTAAAACAGTTTAGATGTTGGTTAATTTTGAAAATATTTGAGTTAGTTTTGGATTTTATAAAAGTATTTTCCTTGAGGTGTCGGCATAATGTGCAATTCAGTCCGCACTTCTTGCATCCTATTGGGCTGGTTTTCCTGAGGGCGATGTCTGATTTGATAAGCATGTCTCTTATATTATTGTTTCGTTGGTAACATACAACGATTTTCCTGTCAGCTATGAACTTAGTTTCCATGTTTAATTTAACTATACTGAGTTGATTATTGATGAGTTTGTGGTGGTTGAATCCTGGGATATACTTGGTGCTAAATACGATGGCGTCTTGAGTTCTTTTTTCTTTTTGGACTAATAGGTACGCTCGGGGTTGTGATCTGGCTCGGTCGAAGCACGATGCTATTAAATTTAATGGGTATCCCCTTTTCAAGAAGTTTTTTCGGCAGATCTTTAGCGAATGATGGCGGTCTTCTGGCGTACTTGAAATACGGCAAATTCTTAAAGCTTGGCTGTATGGGAGGCTTCTTTTCAAGGGTTCTGGATGGCAGCTGTTGTAATGGAGATAGAAGAAACTGTCAGTGGGTTTTTGGTAGAGGCGTGTTTGAAGGTGCTGCAATTCGTCTTGATAAACGGTGACATCTAGGAAGTTGATACTTGTGTAGCTGTGTTCTAGTGTTAATTTGATGCTAGGTATTGTAGAGTTGATCCCTTCCATGAATCTAGTGAGATTCTCTAAGGTGGAAGGCCACAGAAAAAATATATCATCAATATATCGCCACCAAACAAGTGGTTTGATGGGACTTCTGTTGAGTATCCCTTCTTCGAATTGGGTCATGAATATACAGGCTAGGGAAACGAAGAAGCCTATTGAATTTCAATAATTTCCATTAATAATGTCTAGAGTTATGGCCCTTGTTTCGCTTTGTTGAACCTTGTGAACGCTGTAATGCCAAAAGTTAACATCCGATCTTTGTGAAATTTATATGAAATTTTTAAATTAGGGAAACGAAGAGGCCTATTGAATTTCAGCAATTTCCGTTTATTACTTCTAGAGTTATGGCCCTTGTTTCACTTTGTTTAACCTTGTGAACGCTTTAACCCCAAAAGTTATCATCCTATCTTTCTGAAATTTATATGCATTATTTAAATTAGTGAAACAAAGAAGCCTATTGAATTTCATCAATTTCTGTGTATTATGTCTAGAGTTATGGCCCTTGTTTCACTTTATAACACCAAAAGTTATCATCCGATCTTTCAGAAATTTATATGCATTATTTAAATTAGTGAAACGAAGAAGCCTAATTTCAGCAATTTCTGTGTATTATGTCTAGAGTTATGGCCCTTATTTCACTTTATTGATCCTTGTGGAAGCTCTAACGCCAATAGTTATCATCCGATTTTTCTGAAATTTATATGCATTATTTAAATAAGTGAAACGAAGAAGCTTATTGAATTTCAGCAATTTTGGTTTATTACGTCTAGAGTTATGGCACTTTTTTCACTTTATTGAACTTTGTGAATGCTCTAACATCAAAAGTTATATGCTGATCTGTATGAAATTTACGTACATCATTTAAGTTAGTAAAGAGAAGAATCCTATTGAATTTCAGCAATTTCGGTTTATTACTCCTGGAGTTATTGCCCTTGTTTGACTTTGTTCAACCTTGTTAATGCTCGATTGATGAAAGTTATCATCCGATATGTATGAAATTTATATGCATCATTTAAATTTGTGAAACGAAAAAGCCTGTCAAATTTCAACAATTTTTGTAGATTACTTCCAGAGTTGAGACCCTTGTTTCAATTTGTAGAACCTTGTGAACCCTCAAACAGCAAAAATTATAATCTGATCTGTATGGAACTGTCTTGTAAAGGCCACCAATTACCTACAAAGGAATAAATATGCGACAACCCTTGTCGATCGCTCGGACGATTTAGCCGCTGTGGGCGTATGTTTTGTTACCTGGCAACCTATCTTGTTCTCTCTCTGTAGTGAAAAGCGTTCAGCCCAACGAAAATTTGGAGAAAAGTGGAGCCAGGCAAAGAGGCCAGAATTAACATTGAAGTCAATGGGGAAATTATGAGTGGTCTGCATCCATAGGACTTTACATTAAAAAGACTTATCTCCCTTGTATGAACTGAAAGCAGGAAGGAAGAAATCGTCATTGAGAGGGGGAAGAAATATTTCACCAGACAACTAAAAGATTGTTCAAGTAAATAGGTGAGTTGTTATAGCAAAAGACTGTAGGGACATCAAACAGAATATATAGGTATATCGATAAACTGCGATAGGTTTACCATATGCTCTAGAACTTGATTAGTCCAATCATAATGATATATCAATACTGAGATCAAGCCAGCCCTCACTATCTCGTCCTTCACTAAGAATACTTACCCTTCAGCCGAGATCAAGTCAGCCGTCACTTTCTCATCCTTCACTAAGAATACTCACCCTTCACTAACTGCGAATCAAGCTGGCCGTCACTTACAAATTCGCTGGATAACCATGACTTCAGTGAAATCATGTACTCGGTATGGGCTAATCCAATCCTTCGATAAATAAAATGAATTGAAAGTAGTCTATTTTTAGTAACCCATTTCTTAGCTCAAAATAAAAATGCTTTTATCTCTTCTAAAGTATGTAATCATGAATGTGCCAGAAAATAACAAGTAGATTCAAAGAGCCATAGAAACCTACTTTCCGGTGATGTATGACACAATAACTGGAATTTTGTATTAAGACACGGATTTTGACATTAAACACTCGTCCCACCCCCACTACTATCTTTAATTCAGCCAGTGAAGGCTGCCAAACTTGTATCAATTTTAATTTAAAAAGTATATATGCATTCTGCCAAAAATATAATAAATACATTTCAAAAGAGGATTAACTTTACTTTTGAGTATAGATCTACGGAATTTTGGATTAAGCCCCGCATTTTTATTTCAAATACCCCCCCCCCCCCTTTTTTTCACTTTTTAAGGCAAGTAAATATAAATGTGCCAAAAAATTATTTACATCTTTGAAAGAAGCAGTGAATAGAGCGGGAACCCAGGGGGGTAACCTAGCTGAAAAGTGTACCAATTTTCTCCTATATGGTATCAATGTATGTATATCTGGTATCATCAGTATGTAAGTCTGCCGGGTTTCTGGTGGTGGGTGTGGTATTCCACGCCCAAAATGCCATGCCCCCCCCCCCCCAACTAGTCTAGATTAGCTCAACAGTGTACCACATGAAAATTGCACAGCAATGTCCCCTACATCTTCAGGTATTACAAAAACACTCTGACGGACATTTCTAGTGGTGGGGTACCCCTGACAGAGCTATGTAATTGCCAGACATTTGTAGTGATGGAGTATCCCTGACAAGAGGTATCCAATTTCCAGACCAAAGATAGGCTAGATTAGTTCAAATCTGTACCACCTAAAACAGCTTTGGAGTTGTTCAGTACCACGAGAGGAATCATGAATGACCACTGCCAGACAGTTTGTGCAGTGGGTTACCCCTAATAGACATGCCCAAAATTCCACGCCCTCAAACTAGGATAGATTAGCCGGCACTGTTCCCGTGGTCCAAAAATTTTAAAATTGTGCCAGGATGCGTAGATTACTAATACCTAGCACGTATTGAAGAGGCGATAAACTGTGGTTGCAGGAACCATTTTTTTTTTCAAAAACTCATTTTTAGCCCCATAAAACGTTTTTTTCCCAAAAATCAATTTCTTGCAACCGCAGTTTATCGCCTCTTCCATACGTGCTAGGTATTAGTATTCTACGTATCCTAGCTAAATATTTAATTTTTTAAAACACGGGAACAGTGCTTGCGATGTTAGCCTAGTGAGGGGCATGGCATTTTGGGGCGTGTCTGTTAGGGGTAACCCACCGCACAAACTGTCTGACAGTGGTCATTCATGACTCCTGTGGTGGTACTCAACAACTTCAAAGCTGTTTTAGGTGGTACAGATTTGAGCTAATCTAGCCTAGCTTTGGTCTAAATATTAGATAACTCTTGTCGGGGATACTCCACCACTACAAATGTCTGGCAGTTACATAGCTCTGTCAGGGGTACCCCACCACTAGAAATGTCTGTCAGAGTGTTTTTATACGCCCACATTTAAATGTGGTCGTATATTGTCGTCGCCTCCGTCCGTCCGTCGGTCCGGCGTCCACAATTGCTTGTGGACGCTCTAGAGGCTAAAGTTAATATCCGATTGACTTTAAATTTATACACAGTGTTTAAGGTCATGAGACGAAGAAGCCTATTGATTTTCAGTGATTTCCGATAATTACTGCTAGAGTTATGGCCCTTGATCACTTCAAAAAATCTTGTGGACGCTCTAGACGCCAAAATTAATATCCGATTGACTTTAAATTCATACACAGTGGTTAAGATCATGAGACGAAGAAGCCTATTGATTTTTTAGCAATTTCCGATAATTACTGCCAGAGTTATGGCCCTTGATCACTTTGAAAAATCTTGTGGATGCTCTAGAGGCCAAAGTTAATATCCGATTGACTTTAAATTTATACACAGTGTTTAAGGTCATGAGACGAAGAATCCTATTGATTTTCAGTGATTTCCGATAATTACTGCCAGAGTTCTGGTCCTTGATCACTTTGAAAAATCTTGTGGACTCTCTAGAGGTCAAAGTTAATATCCGATTGACTTTAAATTTATACACAGTGTTTAAGGTCATGAGACGAAGAAGTCTTCTGATTTTCAGCGATTTACGATAATTACAGCCAGAGTTATGGCCCTTGTGATCACTTTGACAAATCTTGTGGACACTCTAGAGGCTAAAGTTAATATCTCATTGACTTTAAATTTATACACAGTGTTTAAGGTCATCAGACGAAGAAGTCTATTCATTCTCAGTTAATTTCGATAATTACTGCCAAAGTTATGGCCCTTGATCACTTCAAAAAATCTCGTGGATGCTCTAGAGGCTAAAGTTAATATTTGATTGCCTTTAAATTTTTACACAGTGTTTGAGGAAGAATCTCATTGATTTTTAATGATTTCTGATAATTACTGCCAAAGTTCTGGTCCTTGATCACTTTGAAAAATCTTGTGACGCTCTAGAGACTAAAGTTATCATCCGATTGACTTCAGATTGATACACAGATTTAAGATCTTGAGACGAACAATTATATTGATTTTCAATGAATTTTTATGACTTGAACAGCTAAATCCATGATATTAAATGTTTCGTATACTAAACATTAGCATGGGGCAGAACTTTTATAAAAACTAGTGTTGAAACTACTATTCGGATATTTGTTAACGATTACAAAATAAGGGTTATCCGAATCATTTTACTATCCGTTTACTATTCGTTAAAATATATTCTGACATTCCGTATGCTCTATATTTAGCCATTTTACGTCTGATTACTTTGAAATTTTCCCCAATGCAATTGATCACGTAAGCAGCTCTGAGCATAAATGTCAACATTATGCGTATTATTTAGTGATAGTAACTAATAAAATTATTAATGCAGTGCAACGAAAACAGTAGTCTAAATAAAAAAAATATTCATTCATTCCTTGCGCTAGTTTAGACCGTGTTTTGACTTCCCACAATGAAATTTATTCATAACGACCTAGGTCACGCATATTCCCACTCACTGATTGGTTCAATAGTAGTAGATTATCAGAATGAGGCAAACGACCTTGCCGGAATAAATGGCACATGGTTTTATTTTACTTTTTTCATTCGTGTTGATTGAGCAAAATGATAAGTGGGAGGGTGCGAATAACAGGAGTAGTTATACTATACAAATTCCTTCACCTCATTGATTTTTTGGGATGTCAGACCGATGTCATAGATAGTCTTAATAATTACGGCTAAAAGTAGGCACGTTTTTTTTCTTCGCGGCTCAAACAATTTGCAAATCGAAAGTACGATTTCATACTCGGCATACTGTCATGTATTACATGATATTGTTATGTGTGTATAATTGTCTCTATGATTATAATGAATAATCAGTTCATTGTTGTTACTAAACAGTCTTAAGACCAACTAGAAATCAGCCAGATTTCTTCAAGTTTGGGAATGTGACCTCAAAGATTTGTTGAAGAGAATCCTGTCATCAACCTCTCAAAGACAATAAATTGTAGCCCAATTATTATCTATTCAGATGGTTTATTGTATAAGTGTCATATTACACTGCTCTATATTTAGAATGTAAAACTAAAGCTAGATGGGTTTGGAATCATATTCTATGAAATTTGAATAAGAGAATAAGAAAAATTAATCAAATTAAACACAGAAATAAACAAATTTAATAACAATTTAATAAAATTAAAAAAATTTGATTCAAATATTACATAATGTAATAATAAGCTTATTAATTTGATGTAATATCTACAGCAGCTTGTCTAAGCCAGGGTATAAAATATCTTACATTATTTACCCATATACTTTGATATTGACCAATTTGATGTTAACCAATTAAATGATTTTGGAACTTTTTCTTGGGGAGATAAATATTCATAAGTAAAACAAGGGTTGTTGAGCACATTACGATTGTATAACTCTTGCCAATTATATATTGATTTCTATAGAAAGGGGTCAATATCGAAATATTAATGGCCTATTGATCCATCGTACAATACTATTTACGAACTTATCAATTATCAGTAAAAGAAAATTTGATCCAAAATTATCTATTTTGGTGCAAAAATATGAACATTTACTGATTATTTACATACAGGGAAAAGGTCACCCAAAACAATCTACATGTATTTGTTATTTAAAAGAGCTAAATCGCTAATATTTAGGACCTAGAAATTGACACAAATGGTTCGCAACACAAATAATAATGTAATATGAATGTACATAAACTGATTTAGTATTTATTGCGCATGCTCTCCAGATAGGAATATGACATAACCGTTTGAGTTACTTGTGGAATATATCTAGCCCCGTCCTTCGAGTCCCTTGTTATAAATGGCACTTAAAGGCATTCGTGAACCAATGGTAAAATGTTTATTTTGTCTTACAATCTTATGGAAGCCTATAACTACGATTCATAATTTCTACTTTTCGCCCCTTCAAAACACGAAAGTCGAAAAGTGACCTTGAAAGTAGAGACTACATCAACTTCTGAGGCGAAAAGACAACAGTACGACAGCAAGCCAAAATCAAAGGTCGCTAATATCGCCATCAATACTAGACTTTATAAACTATTTTGTTAACGCGAATTTATTGTCAATGT